CGGAATAAAAACAGAAAGAAGTTGCCTTGCTTGGACTGATGCAGGATTTAGGAAACACGTATGCCTCGGTTCTTAACTTGGAAAAAAAACTTCCAGACAACAACTGAGTCCGTGTCGCGGACATTTTTCAGAGATCGTCTCTGCTGCGTGTGCCCGGTGGCACCGGAAACTTTACAAAAGTTGCGGTAAGCTATATTTTTAACATTTACGTAACATCTGTGCAGCGCTGAAAGCACCAGACAGAATAATTCTGTGCCCTAAGTCCCTAACAGTAGTTTATGAAAGTAGTCAGACAAACGAGAGGCACCTGGCTGCCGCTGGGAGAATGCTCCATGTTCTCACTACTCTGTAAACAATCACAAACAACGTGTCTTACAGTTGAAAACAGAAGTTTAAGTTAAAACAGAAACACTCTGAAACTTTTCTGATGATTTTCTAAACAGTTCTGTCAGGGAATTCTACGTTTCTGAGACGAGTCTCTGTCTAACATCACATGCATTACTATCATTAAGCAGCGAGGTGTGTTGAAGCTGTCATCAGCTAAGGGGCGGATGCTTAAGTGCATCAGGGGCAGCGAGGAACGAGGAAGTTGTGATCAGGCTGGAGATCACACCAGATTCGCTGCTGCAGGCGGGAATCTGCGGGTCTGCAGCATCCCCTTATTAACGTGACATCAGGACTTCCCATGTAAGGAAGGTCCGCTCACCTGTTCGTCAGATCATTATTTCCTCACCATGATCTTTTATCATCCCATCATCCTCCAGTCATCCAACTGGAACCAGTTAGTGTTCCTGATCATTCTCAGAATATGCCATGCCTGCTCTGGTGATAAAAGTTAGTACATTTAAGTCCTAGATCATATCTGTGCCTGTTCTACTGTCATTTTGAAGGATTATTATTTATGTGTTTTTACTAAATTATGAGTAGAAATGCTAATAAAAACTCCCAATTATACAAACAAGTGAAACTGGAAAAATTAGAATCTGGAGAAAAGTCAAATTTATTTCAGTCATTCATCTAGACAGAGAGACTATTTAAAGGCTCAGGAACCCTTTGCAGGCGTTTTCTATTTGTAATTATAAATTTTAGTTGATTTGGGTTTTCTTTCATATCACACAGTGACATTTTTAGTTTAAAGTAATAACCATGTCTAATGTTTGATTCTCTGTCTCATAATTTTAATTAAAAGTTTTACTTTGAGAGCACATTTTCCTGAACGAATAAAATGCGATTAATGTAGATTAATTAATTACAAAGCCTGTACTTAGATTAAAATTTTTTATCAAGTCCCAGCCCTAATATAGATATACACACATACATATATTTATATATATATACACATACATATATATGTATATATATATCTGTATGTGTATATATATATACATCTCCCCCCCCCCCCCCCCCCCCCCCCCCGACATACATGCCCAGCAATCTCACACATCCATCCGTCTGTTTCTCTTTCCCACACAGAGACAGAAATGGGAGGAATTACAGTAGAATCCCTCTCACATGGAGTCTTTGAAAACTAAAGTAGGAGAAACTTGTTGCACACACACACACACACACACACACACACACACACACACACACACACACACACACACACACACACACACACACACACACACACACACAAAGAAAGAGTGAGTCTGGTTTTCATTACAGCTGAGAAAAAAGGGAAGGGCTCCTCATCCCATATGAGAACCACATTCCTGAACATGCAGCTCTGTTACCAGGACATTCACAAGGAATCGTGTGTGTGTGTGTGTGTGTGTGTGTGTGTATAAAAAGAGGGCTGGATAGAGGTCGGATTGAAAAGAAAAGGGTAAAAACCAGGTTGTAAACTAGGGCCCGACCGATATTATCGGCCGATATTGGGGTCATTAACAGTATCGGCAATCGGCCAGGGCTGCGCAATGGCGCAGTAGTTAGAGCTGTTGCCTTGCAGCAAGAAGGTCCTGGGTTCGATTTCCGGCCTGGGTTCTCTCCGGGTACTCCGGCTTCCTCCCACAGTCCAAAAACATGACTGTTAGGTTGATTGGTCTGTCCAAATTGTCCCTAGGTGTGAGTGTGAGTGTGCATGATTGTTTGTCCTGGGTGTCTGTGTTGCCCTGCGATGGACTGGCTCCCTGTCCAGGGTGTACCCCGCGACCCTACGTGGACAAAGCGGGTTCAGAAGATGGATGGATAGGCTATCGGCCAAAAAGACAACCGACATGGCCGATATTGCGCTACCTATCCAGCAGATGGCGCCAGCTTTATGAACTCATTGTGTGGCTCCACTCCTTTGAACTTTGAACACAAATTATTGTTTTGGAACTTTTTTTTTTATTTACTCTTATTTATGTTTCTTATGTGCAATTATGTCCTGTCCAGGGTGAATAAGTTCACCAAGGTAACTTCCACAGAGTGTTACTTTGTTACAAAGCACAAGTATTACGTTTTATTTATTGCTGCATTTTTATTATTTTAATATTCTTACAGGGATCTTCTGTCCCTAAACGTGTGTGTGTGTGTTGTTAGATTTCCCAGAGTTAGCCAAGTCAGGAAAAACATTTTGTAACCAGTTGTTTTAGCATAAAGCAATGGAAGGGAAGGCTTGCATTCACCTACATAAAAAACACTACAATGTACGTGAATTCACTTACATTGTTTTATGCTAAACTCAGAAAACCAACTGCTGCCAGATCATATTGGGCTGGTTATAAAATGCTTTTTCTGACTTGTCTAACTCTGGGGAATCTTAAAGGGTCTTTACGGAGTTTTGAATTTTTATGCTCGCGATTGCCCCCTCAGGCCAAAAGCGTAACGGCAGCTTCAATAGTAGGCTCGTGCACGAGGCGCGCATGCTGTACGTGCACACTCCTTAACGAAAATAACAGCTGAGACAGTCAGCTTTGTGTGTGTGTGTGTGTGTGTGTGTGTGTGTGTGTGTGTGTCGGAGGACAGGAGAACACGCAGCTAAATAATGAAATAATTTGGTTCTGTATCTTTCTCTTCAGCACAGCCGACAAAGGTTTAAGATGGGTCAGTCCTCCTGCATGCTCAGATCATTCCCTTCCCTTGCTTGAAAAATTGTTCCAAAATGAAAGTTGAACCCACATCTTTTTTATCTGTGAATTCAATGCCCGTTCGGCAAGTCTCAAATAAAAATTTGGGCATCTTACTGTAAAAAAATATAGCATTAATGTAAAAAATAAACTCTAAATAAAGTTAAGTTCACATCCAGAATCAAACCCAGGTCTCCTGCACAAATGTCCAATGTCTTACTAGGTGAGCTAAAGCACCCGTAACGTCTTCTGTATCTGTAACATTTATATCCTTGATGACAGCTGAAACAACGTCAATCCAAAGAACGGTTCGGAGCGAAAATGGCTATTTTGTTGCTAATTTGCAGGAAATATCTAGAAGTAGCTAAGTCCTCAGAAATGTAGCTAGGTTCATCACTAGGCGTTAGGAACAGCGACAAAGTCGCTGAGTTGGCACTAGCTCTCTCTGCTGCTAAAGCTACGGATAGCAAATGCTACGGGCTATGGCTGAGCGTGAACGCGCATGAAGCAGCCTGCTCGACCCGAGCAGCTCTCTTTTCTGTGATTTTACAGAAAAACAGGCAATCACAGTAAAAATGCCAGGGCTCATTCTACAGGACCAGGGCATTGCAGGAGAATGTATGAAGAAGACATTTATTATTTCTATACATGTTTTGGCTGTCAAACTTCCATAATGCCCCTTTAACAAGACACAATTTTACCGAGTGGTGGAATATTCCTTTAAGTTAAAATGTATTTGTGGAAAACACAGTTTACAAGAAAAAACTTGAATGTTAGATTTATGCTGTGACTGAGTTTGTGTGTTCTGTTGTTTTTAGATCTGCTAAATAAATCTTATTTGCATTACTTGGAAACCCGAGTGAGTTATTGAGACCGTTCTTTGGTGTGTAATAGAAAAATAAGTTTGCATCAAAACGGCAGAGAATGAAGGGTTAAGCTTAAGAAAATTTTTATTTCTTTTTTGTGAGGGACATTTATTGGCCATTATATCGGCTATCGGCCTTTCTTAAAAGTTTTATGTCGGTATCGGTCCCAAAAAAAGCATATCGGTCGGGCCCTACTGTAAACACACACTTATGCTCATTTTCATCATAAATCCTTTTCCTTCAATCTATGATCAAAGAAAAAAAAACTTATTTCTTAAATGCTGATCAAGTGCGTCTCTTCTCTTCGCATTCCCATCTCCAGTTTCCACTTCCTGTCTGCAAAAATTGCTCAAGCTCTTCATGCAACGCTGCATTCCAGTCAGGATTCAGCTCATTTGCATGCAGCTCTCCACAAAACATGGTTCGAACTCAAGCGGAGCGCAAGGTTTCAGCAACAAGAACAACAGGGCGGTTCTGTCCAAAACCAAACTTACGAAAACCATCTAAAGAGAAAGTGGGGCCACAGGTGTGTGTGTGTGTGTGTGTGTGTGTGTGTGTGTGTGTGTGTGTGTGTGACATAGATGTGCTGAGTCCAACACAAACCCTCGCCTGAACTCAGGAGATGAAACCTTCTACCTGACAGTTTCTTGTCGGGTCTCACCTTCCTGAACGGAGGCCACTCCTCCTCCAGCTGCAGGTCGGGGTCGCTGCTGGTGTCGTGGGGGTCATCACAGGGGTCACAGTCGGTGTGGAAGACGTTAGCTGTGCTGAGTTTGTACAGAGGAGTCAGAGCAACACCTGACGCATCCCAGAAGCGCACGGTGCCGTCCTCATGTCTGGAAAGGCCAGATTTAAAATCAGTCTTCAGATCGTCGGTGAGGTGATGTTTACCAGCTGTGCTGAAGACCCGCTTCATTTACGCTCTGCAGGTTTAAAGCTACACTTGAGAGCTGGGGAAGACATTTTGATATTTTCTGATGATCCAGTGCTGGTACTGATAGATCTGTAAATGTGCTCATCGGGATCACACAAGTTCTAGCGTTCCTCCACTTCTACAGGTCCAGGTCACGAGGCCAGCCTGTCCTCTCCCTGGTCACTTCCAGTTGGACCCCAGGGCATTCCCGGAGATATTTAAACCCCTGCTGATGTTATAATGATGTTTTTAGTAATCCCTCCAGCATTGTCCTGAGTTCCAAGTGGTGCTCGCTGCAGAACCACAAAGGCGGACCTGCACCAGAGTCAGCCCCGCCCATTCCATCAGAGTCAGTCCGATTCCTTCCAGTTGTCAGACTTGATAGCAGACTGGAACCAAAGAGGGTGTTCTAGCTAGTATCATCTAAAATGCAAGCTTGAGGACGGAGTTGAGAAGTTAATTGAACAGTTTTTGTAAAGGTTCCATATAATTAAAAATCTAACTTTTGGAACTTTTTACCATGTTATGTTGTCATTTCCTCCTAAGAAACACGCCAAAGCCATTTTTGGCCTCATTCACGCATTTTCCTCCCATCTAAGCTTCTATTTGGTCTCCTCCCCCGAAGCGGGTCTTGTCTTGGTTCTCAAATCTGGATATTCTGTGAATTTTCTGACAAATTATTTCTGAAATGTCTTCTACTGAGACACCGCCGGAAAAACCATACATCCCATCCCGTACATCAGGTTCGCCTCCCAGTAGCGGCAGTTTATAACCCCTTTCTTCTTCTGTAGCTACACTTGCCAGAACCATGTTTACAACCATTTATTGGTATACCGTTTACAATATAATGACCAGGGATGTGTATTTTTGAAATTCTGGCGATACGATACATATCACAATACAGGGGAGACGATACGATATATTGCGATACATTCAGTCAGACATTACAAGCAATTTTTTTTACTGAATTTATTGTAAGAATGTTCAATAAAAAGTCCAAACTGATACGTAACGTGTTTAACATGAGGTATCTGAACCATGATGGAGGGATTTACAGTTCAATGGTGGAAACAAAACCCATTGCACACTGCTGCTGACTCTGGTGCAGCTCCGCCTTTGTAGTTCTGCAGCGAGCACCCTCTCGACCCATGGGCATTGCCCATACACGTCCCTCTTGAGACGGCCAGAGGCATGCGGACCAGACACCTGAACCACCTCAGCTGGCTTCTCTCAGCGTGAAGGAGCAGTGGCTCTACTCCAGATGTTCGAGTTCCTCATCCTGTCTCTACTGTGGAGCCCGATCACCCTACTGAGCGGGTTGTTACCCACAGCTCATGACCACAGGTGAGGGTCTGGTGCTCTCTGGCTTAGCTCAAATGGACCGGTCCAACAGCCACATCACTGAAGATGCTGTCGACACCCACCCAGACACTTAAACTCCTCCACAGACTCAAAGTTAAACTGAATTATGGTCAGGATAAAAACCACATTGCTCCTCCCCTCCAGCACCTTGGAGAGCACATTTCCAGGGAGGCTGAGGAGTGTGATCCCCCTGGATCTTCATCATGGGGACCTCTGACCATCTGCCACTCCACAGGCACCACCCCCAATGCCCATGCAGCGTTGCAGAAACGTGTAAACAGGACAGTCCTACAGCATCCAAAACCAGCCCCGGATACAATAGGAATCGCATGTGTGTGTGTGTGTGTGTGTGTGTGTGTGTGTGTGTGTGTGTGTGTGCACAAACCCTGTCAATAGCAACTCTTGCCGTTTGGGTGGAGGTGCCAGATTCTTCCCTCCACAAATCGGCCAGCTCTGCACAACCAGAAACAAAATGATGGTCAGCGTTATTCATCCATGTACTCAATTTATCTGGACTGCTGCAACAACAACAACAACAATAACAACAATAATAATAATTAATCTTGTGTTGTTTGCAGGTTTTAGACTCTGCTATGCTAACAGTGACTGTAGTTTGGCTGCACAGAGAAACCATGAGTCATCAACTCAACAGCTGCTTGTGTGTGTGTGTGTGTGTGTGTGTGTGTGTGTGTGTGTGTGTGTAATCTGCCACTGATCAAACAGCTGATCCAAGCTAAAGACTCTAAAGCCTTTAACTGCTTACATTTGCTCTTTAAGGGCACACACACACACACACACACACACACACACACACACACACACACACACACACACACACACACACACACACACAGACAGCAGCTATGTGTTCTCTCATCTTCTCGACCAAGCTTAGCAGGTTTTAACTAGTCCGGTTACCAACTACCTGATCAAACACCTAAAACAGTTAAAAACACACACACAAGCACTGCTCTACGACCGTGTGTGTGTGCTGCTGGTCCCGCTGAGCTCTGCCAGCGTTGACTAGCCTCTCCCACAGCTTGGGGGGGACGCTGGAGATGTGGCAGGAGCAGGTGATGGCCGAGGAGTGAAGAGGAGCGAGGTAGGGAGTAGGCACGGCGGGCCAGCCGGGCGTCTGCAGGTCGATCACTACCAGCTCCTCTTCTAGCAGCACCACCAAGGCTGATGGGTCGTCGAACTCTGAGGGGAGGAGGAAGAGGAAGGTTAGGAGATTCCTGACTGGAAGAAGAGGAGGATGCTTCCGTAAAGCCGGAGACACATCGATGATGTCGGTCACACCTTTCTCGGGCTCTGTGCTGTGGACGGTGAAGAAGTCGATGACTCGAGACGTGAAGTCCAAAGTGACGTGGTCTTTGTCCTGCTGGACGGTCAGACAGTGTCGGTCTCCGTAGCTGGCCCTGGGCATCCCGCCACTGTACAGCAGCACTGGGGAGCTGAGACACAATACGGGTTCAGAACCTTCTGGAAAAAGGCGCAAGCTTAAAGGTTTTAATATTTCAGGATGGAAACGATGGAACTTAAACAACAACAAAAGGTTATTTTACAGATTTCACCAGAACAACCATAACTCCATGGTTTCCAACGTCGTCTTTAACCAGCTTAGTGCTGTGTCTGCTGCAGTCCCGCCCCGCCTCTGCACAATAATGTTCATTCAGACAGGCCATGAAAAACGGAAATGTTCCGGACTCTGTCCGTAAGACCTTTCTGTCTGAATACAAACATCCGGATAACGTGTTCCGGAATTTATCCGGACAAAGCCCCTAGTAACAGGTCCGGAATTGTTACGGACAGGGTGGCTGCTTCAGACTGGTGAGGTAAAGTTCCGGACAAGGGGGAGGAGGAGGGGACCGGGGGACGCTGTGCGCACCTAGGTAGCCCGCTCCTGTAGCATGCGGCGAACCACGGCAGCTCGCCTCCTACGGTACCGCCTAGACGCGCGACGGAGCGCTTCACACCGCTTCAGTGATTCCTTTAACCATTGAGCTTCATCATCCAGGTCTCTTATGCGTCTTCGTGTGCGCAGAATTATGCTTAAGCGCCTCGTGATTTTTATCTTGAGAGGCGCTATAGAAATGATATTTTCTTCTTCTTCTTCTTAACATAAGTCCGATTCTCCCCCCACACCCCCCACCCCACCCCCCAGCCGCCGTCAGACTTCTGGAACTTTTCCCTGCTGTGTGAACGCAGCCGAAAGGACAAGTTCTGGTACAAAAGTGGTGTGTCTGAAAACACAGTTCCGGTTAAAAACCGGATTGAATTGTCCACAAATGTTCCAGAATGTCAGTCTGAAAAGGGTTAACTAATTACTTTTAGGGAAGGAAAGATGGAGCGCGAGATCAACAGGCGGATTGGTGCTGCGTCTGCAGTGATGCGGGCGTCGTACCGGTCTGCCGTGGTGAAGAGAGAGCTGAGCTGGAAGGCGAAGCTCTCGATTTACCCTCGTCTATGGTCACGAGCTTTGGGTAGTGGCCGAGAGAACGAGATCACAGATACAAGCGGCCGAAATGAGTTTTCTCCACAGGGTGTCTGGTGTCTTAGAGATAGGGTGAGAAGCTCTGTCATCTGGGAGGGGCTTGGAGTAGATTCGCTGCTCCTCAAGAGGAGACAGTTGAGGTGGCTGGGTCATTCAATTCAATTCAAAGATACTTTATTAATCCCAGAGGGAAATTAGAGTTTCAGTACACATACATGGGCAAAGACAAAGACACATGACAAGAATTGGTGACTGTGGTCATTCGCAACCCTGAGTCGCGCTACCGTAATAGAGATCAGAGGGTTACATGAGGATTGAGTCAGGTGGAGGAAACAAAAGGCACATTAGTTACCCTCCACAGGGAGGGCAGCTTTGCTCTGCAAAAAAACACCTCAGACAGAAATGCAACAGACTTCAGACATCACACAACATAAGTGTCCACTAGGTGGGGTGGTAGGGTTTGGGACTCTCCTCACATCAGTGAACGCAGCCACTATGAGCAGCGCTCGTCACCTCGGTCTGGACAGGTGGAGGAGGTCGTTGGGTTTAGAGGGCACAGTGACTCCTGGAACGATTCAGTGGTATTCACAGCTCGCAGTCCCACCTAGGCTGGGATGGGGAGACAGAGATGCCATGGCGATGGCGGCATTCCACATTTCTTCTGAGGTCTGGGGGTGGGGATTCGTTTCAGCCTCACAGGCTCAAAGGGCACCAGATTCAGATAAGAAATTGTTTTGGGGCCAGACAGAGATGATTTCTTCTCCGTCTTAAAGTTCCGTTGGTCCTCAACCTCTCAAAATCCAATAATGGCGTAAATTAATCTATCCCAATCCGTGCTGATTCGTCCACTCGCTCCTTGATCTCATCCATCTTTTGTGCCAACTCGTGGATCTCAGCCAAAGTTCCAAGCTTATGACTCATCTCGACAATCATATGAGTCTGTGCATTCACAGCGCGGTGTAATCCATCCCTGAGCTCCGGGAAACAGCCAATATTCCTCGACAGCTTGTTAATTTTCCGGTAGGCCAGGTAACCGCTCAGGCCAAAAAGCAAGAAACCTGACACCAACACCACAAATATCCAGACGTCTTCAGAATCCTCTACAGACAGTTGAGAGAGGCAGATCAGGTTCCACTGTTTCCAGGAGTCCATGATATGCCCAGCTGGCTCTGTCCCAGAGGGGCATCCGGGAGCCCCTTCTCCCGTTCTCATCATTGAAAAAATGTTGTTTATCGTGTTGAGAGACCAACTGACCAGATCCATTTTTAATTATTTCCAGTTTCCAGAAAAAATGCAGAAAGCGCCGTCCACCCAAAGACAGGACAAAGAGCCTTGGGATGAGGAGGGAGGGAGAGGAGAAAAAAAAAGCGTCTGTACTCTCCAAGAGTTGGAAGTTTTTTTCAGGTCAGGATGCCTCCTGGATGCCTCCCTGGTGAGGTTTTCCGGGTACGTCCAACCAGGACGAGACCTAAAGGGAGAGCCAGACACGGTGGAGGGACTATGTCTCTCGGCTGGCCAGGGAACACCCTGGGATTCCCCCGGAAGAGCTGGCCCAGGTAGCTTGGGAGAGGGAAGTCTGGGCGTATCGACTTAGGCTACTGCCCCCGTGACCCGACTCCAGGTAAGCCGAAGAAAATGGATGGAAAAAGGGCCTTGTAGTGAGATCTGAGCTCCAGCACAACACCAGAATGAACGTCCTCAGGACACTCACCCAGTCTGGGACGTCCTCCATAAGATCTTGTTGATGGCTTTACAAGGAAACGGACCTGGAACAAAAAAGAAAGCACAAAAGTTACTAAATATCAAAATCCTTGGTGTACTTTTTTAACCGACGATCAAATGTGAAGTAAATACTAATTAAATTTAAAACCAGCCCTTCCCACAGATCTGATCCAGATGTTTGTTTAGATTCTTTTTAACGCCTTTCAAAACAAACTGCAGGAACGCCATTTCTCCTCACCGAGACAACGCAGACAGCAGCTCATCGAGCAGCCGAGTTCACGTTTTTCACCAGGCGTTCCTCTCAAGCAAGAGTTAAAACACAACTAGCAGTGTGACGTGTGCATGCGCGCTCTTCTCACCGTATGGGATGGTGGAGGACACTGGCTGGTGACTGCAAGGGTTGCCACCGGTAACGGCCCACACTGAATAGCCTCCATCGTTATGAGAACTGACAAATGAGCTCCCAGATCGTTCCCACACCAGGCTCTCCAGCTGCTGCAGAAGATTTAGACACACACACACACACACACACATGCATCACTCAAAGCTGACACATCAAACAATAATTATCTGCATTTTTTGAAAACATGAATGAAACCTGTTTGCCGAGGAACAGCTGGTCAGCCTGATGGGTGCTCAGATCCCACAGGACCACCAAACCTCGGCTGTAGCCAATCAGAATCTTCCCTGGCTGCCGGGGGTGTTCCTGGAGAGATTCCACTGGTCCTAATGATTTTCCACATCTGTATTCATCCGGCAGCCTGGAGAGGAAGAAACAGAAAAAACATCTTCAGCTTTTCCATAAGAAGACAGTTTGACTGCCGTCGGTTGTTTACTCGCAACGGCGTGACACTGAGCCATCACACACCTCTTCCTCTGGACCGTGCGGGTATTCACTGATCATCTGTGACTGGCGGTTGCTAGGCAACAAGCACAATTGATTTACAGGATTCCAGTCAAACAGAAACCTTTTAAATGAGTAAGCAACATAATTAGAGGCAGAGCGATCAATAATTAATTGGATCTGCTTGTCTTTTTTTTTTAAACCAGCTGTGATTCTTGGACTTACTGAGCTAATTAAAGATGTATGGTCAGCTGGGTGCTTTGTTTCGGCACTACCGCAGAAAAAAAACGACTTTAATTACACACTCGACTAGTCTGTGAGTAAACGCCAGAGTCATTATCTAGATGACATCATCATCATCATCTCATGGAGCATCGCAGATATGAGCTAAAGCTTTAGTAATTTGACCCAGAGGTGACTCTCACTCACCGTAAGTAATGGAGTAAATCACCTCCCATTTAAAATCAAAGAGGTTATAATATTAAACTGCTGCACTTACGAGCCTTTGGCAAAGAGTTAGCATTGTTAGCATTGCTATAGATGCAGTGTTTGCTACATCACGTCGGACAGACATTACTGACATGCTTTAATCATTTCCGACGAAAAACTTCAAATTGTCGGACATCATGACCGAAGTTCCTCCATTCTTAAAGCTGTTATAGCGAATCAGCAAAAAAGTTAGGGTTCGAACACAAACGTGGTCATGAAAAACTCACCCCTCCCCTCGGGTATTTTGCTTGAGCCATGTCCGCCGAAACTGGATACCAACATTGCCAGAGGAAACGAAATAGTGCTTAACGCCAGTTGCCGTTTTCCAGGTCCAAAAGTACCAGTTTTTACTGCCTTAGTTATGTTTATGTTTATTTATTTAGCAGATGCTTTTATCCAAAGCGACTTACAATTTATAACCTATAGGGCATGTTGTGATCTGTGGGGGAAACCGGAGTACCCGGAGGAAACCCACGCATGCATGGGGAGAACACGCAACTCAACGCAGAAAGGCCGCAGCCGAGTTTCGAACCTGCGACCATCATGCTGCGAGGCAACAGTGCTAACCACTGCACCACCATGTTACAGTAGTCTTACACTCAGTAATTCCTGGTTAGCATTTTTAGCTACCCAAAATAGCTAAATATTTCAGTTATTCAGAAGAATAGCTAGAATTAGGCCGTTTCTTTCACGCAAACATCTGGAGACTGTCATCCACGCCTTCATTATGCAGGCATCAAGCAGGCCTCCATAGCGAAACTGCAGAAGGTCCAAAATACAGCAGCCAGGTTACTGACTGGTACCAGGAGATCTGAACACACCACACCCGTCTCGGCATCCCTACACTGGCTTCCAGTCTCCTTTAGAATTTCGTTTAAAGTTCTGGTGTTTGTTTTTAAATGTTTAAATCAGTTGGCAACACGATATCTATCGGATCTGATCCATCCTTATGTTTCCTCAAGGAACCTTCGGTCAGCACAGCAAGGACTGCTGGTCGTTCCCAAACAGACAAAAATCTCGAGGGGGTCATGCTTTCTCGGGACTGGGGCCGAGGCTCTGGAATGAGCTACCTACATGTGTCAAACAGGCCACCATGCTCGGCTATTTTAAGAGCCGTCTGAAAACACACCTTTATTCTTTGGCTTTGAGTGGAGTCTTGTTAATGGGTGGCTTTGCACTTTTTGCTCCCCCACCTAGATTTTATCTACAGTGATCCCTCGCTACTTCGCGGTTCGTTTATCGCGGATTCACAACTTCACGGATTTTTTCTTTGGAGATTTATTCAAGGGAAATTTGCCGATTCGCGGAATTTTTCACCGATTCGCGGTATTTTTCTGTCATGTTTTGGGGTAAGTGTCTAACCCAAGACATACAGAATCAGACTCGAGTCGAGGTAAACGATAAACAATAATTTTATTTCTTTAATGATGAGGAAAACTGAGGGCGCACTGGTGATCCAGCAGAGGGTAAACCAGGAAGCGGCAAAATGCGGAAGTTCAGGGTGAATGTGGAGGGGAGTTGAGCCGGGGTGATATCCAGAGGCAAATTGTAGATTTCCAGGTGGCAGAGTAGACGGATGAGGAGGACGAGGACGAGGTAACGGAGAGGGAGCGTGAGCACGGTGGAGAGCGGGACGCCAGAGCGGAGTTGGTATCCAGGCAGCGAACCGGTGAGTATCCAGAAGTCTCCAAGACAGGAGCGAATCCGGAGGAGAAGCGAATCAGGCAGTAGTTAATCATCCGGCGTCGTATCTGGATAACCGTCCTCCTTTTAAAGCCGTCCCGCTGATCAGGCTGATGAGGATCAGCTGCGCTCCCTCTCCTGTTAAATAAATACTGTAAATATGGTGTCCCTACTTCGCCGGATTTTCACCCATCGCGGCCAGGTCTGGAACGCATCTACCGCGATTGTCTTTTGTTGTCCATCAATTCAAATGGAAAAACCTCTCACACCAGTGATGAGTGGAGGACCCAGGGAAGTGCGGCAGTTTGGTGAGACCAACAGCCAGCTGGTCCAATAGCTGCTTTTGGGTCCAAACGTGTTACAGCTATAGAGCTCCGGGAGTTGACGTCACGTCTCTCCCGGCATGCAACAGTTCAAATCGAAACAGCGCCATATTGGCAGGCAGAAGCCGGCAGCTGGGCCATTTGTTATTGTCAGAAAACTCAATCAAACGGGAAATATGGTAGATTCCTGTTGTGTCCCAGGATAACAGAACAGACGCGGACGACATAAGGGATGAGCCATCTACAGGATTCCCCGAGATCCGGAACGCCGCAAACGTTGGATCATTGTAATAAAACTCGCTAGTGACCGGGCTAAAATGAAGCTGTGGGATCCCGAGAGTAAAGGTTTTCGCTTCTGCAACGACCGCTTCATATCAGGTACTTAAACCAACGTTTCCTCAACTGTGTATGGTATTTATTTTAAATGCTTTTATTACGATTCTTAGTGGGCTTCCTAAACTTATTTTGGCGTGGCTTTTTCTGTCTTATTACTCACAGCAACAAGTAAACAGCACGTAAAACGTTGCCACGTGAGTTCTGCGTGCTGCCGTTTACGTGTTTTATGATCACAGCAATTAACCGGCTAAGCTGTATTTCATTTTTAAGCAATGGTTGATCAATTGTCAGATCACACATAAAAAGTACTTTGGATTGCTATTATCTGTCTCACCGAGACAGCTCTCAGACAGATCCTGAGACGTTCCTGCCTGACATATTTATTCTATTCACGGAAAAAAATCAAACTAGTGATTTCTCTTGGCGTTCAGTTTATACATTCAAACAGCACAGCACTCTATTTAAACTTCTTACATGTAAATCTGTTATTTGTCCATCCATCCATTTTCATCCGCTTATCCCGAGTCGGGTTGCGGGGGCAGTAGCTTGAGAGGCCCAGACTTCCCTCTCCCCAGCCACTAGGGCCAGCTCCTCCGGGGGAATCCCAAGGCGTTCCCTGGCCAGGTCCGCTCCGACAGCTTCTGGCGTTTTTAAAAAGTATCCCAGGGGCACGGTAAGGGTCGAAGATGTTTAGTCTATTTAATTTCTGACTATATAAAACGATTTCTTCGGTTTTAAAGTGTGAAGTAAACTCCGACGAAGTAAAATCCAAGCCGATCCCGTTCTTTTTGTTTACCTTTGTTGCCTGCCAACATGGCGTCTACTCTGAGTCACGTGACGTCCGGAGCTCTATACTGTGTTAGAAGGTTGTTAAAAAATGTGAAGAAAATGCTTTAAGCTAAATCGTTTTCCAAATTTGCTACAAAAGCTTCAAATAGATACAAATCTGAAGCAAGCGAGGACATCGTCCTACGTGGTTCAAAAATGTCCTGCATGACACGCCCACATCTACCAGTTTGGTAGGCGTGGCTCAAAGGTTCTCACAAACACTGTAGATGACATCATAAATGAGCCCTGTCCAAAGAAATAGTTTATATCCAACAGGACTGATAAGCTAACGGCTAGATCAAACTGTATTATTTCCCTTTTTAAAAACGACTCAATCTAAAAACTTTCACGGTGACACATTAATCTATAAAACTCTGTTTCTCCAAACAGAAGGCTTTCAGTAACACTTTGTAATTATTTACTTCTAACTTTTACTCACTTTAAAGTGACCCTTTAGTTCAGTTTTGTTCACTTCACACTTGTGTCAGACGCAAAGTCAAAAAGGTAAATATGGATAATTAACTTGAGAGGAAATCTGGGATCCTATCAGCCGTTAAATTACAAAATAAAAAAAAAGATATTACCAAAAGATCATATGATAATGAAACAAACAGATTTATTGAACCATTTCTCTAATTCTTCAAAAAGCAGACACATCCGTCTTTCCTTCATGGAACATGAACCCTTTAAACCTGACCTGCCTGCTGCTGTTAGGATCAACAAAGCTGTGTGTGTGTGTGTGTGTGTGTGTGTGTGTGTGTGTGTGTGTGTGTGTGTGTGTGTGTGTGTGTGTGTGTGTGTGTGTGTGTGTGTGTGTGTGTGTGTGTGTGTGTGTGTGTGTGTGTAACGTTTAGTCTAACGGGACACACACTGAGATGCCCTGTGAAGAAGATGAAAGTAAAAGGATTGAAAAACAAACTGGGAAACAAAATAAAATAAACGGAGTTTTTCTAAACTGGTCTCGAGCAAAAAAATCTAAACATGCAAAACGTTTTTGTCACTTTGATTGAAACTCTTACTGATGACAGCCAGTAAATTAAAAGTCTTGTTAAAAAAAAGGAAATCTTATTCCTTGAAAAGCTTTATCCAGTCATCATGAACTTAACTCGTTCACTGCAAATGACGACTTTCGTCATTTGCATGCTTTTACTGTGTGGGCGTCGGACGAGCCCCCGCACTGTGAGAACAAACATCTCAGCTCTAAAGCCGATCTTCTTCTGCATACATCACATGATCAGGAAGCAGAAAATCCATGTGTTAGGAGATCGTTTTGGGCCGCTGCTGTAAAAAAAAGTGAGAAGCGAACCGGAAAAGCTTCTGCCGATCACAGTTCAACAACGGATTACGAAAGAACAGATAACGCTCGAAACACGCGGATTCTTCCTGATGTGAGAGGTGAGTCTCTGCTTTGTTTTGGTTGTTTTGGCGTCGACATCATCCTAGCGCGCAACGTTCTGTTCCGCTTAAAAAAAAACCCAGTAATAATGGTGAGAAACGCTGGCAGCAAAGGGCTTTACCGATCAGGAAATGAGTGGCAGCGAATGAGTTCATGATTGGATCATAACCCATCCACCACGCGTTCCTCCCCCTCTGCGTGGCTTGGAGCAGTTAACCAGGTGAAGCCGGAGCTGGGCTGCCTCGTGTCACGGACAGAATGACTCCAGTTAGCTCTTTTTTTCTTTGCAAAGACGCTTCGGCTCACGAATCGATGTTGAGAATTTGGGGGGCGGGGGTGGGGTGGGGGGGGGGGGGTTTATCAAAATGTAGCACCAGATGTGTGTGTGTCAGAATCAGAAAGGTGTGTGTGTTGGCAGATGTTTTTCTAAATTCACAGATGCTTGGTTGATCACACGACAATCTCTGCGTACTACAACTTTGTGGGTATTTTTAAACCATTTCTATGTTCTCATAAATACGGTCTCACCTCTGTGTGATCTGATCCTGGAACAGCGTCTGGTTCCCCAGCAGAGAGAGGCGAGGCAACTCCACAAAGTAAACTCCTCCTCCTTCTGTCCCAATGCACAACAGGTCACATGACTTGAGCAAGAGGAGGACCGTCACTCGCGTAGCACTGGGTTAAAAACAATAAGGTTGCAGAAGAAGACAGAGGAAAACGTTAAGGAGCTCTGTGTTTTGTTCGGTTTTTGCTTCCTTTGAGTAACCGCCATCAGCATAAACTTAAATGTTGAAGACGATCCAATCAGAGCAAAGAAGTGAAAAACATAATGATGTCCAAGTTTTTTAAAGTATAAAAGATTCATACCTGCAGCTTTCAATGCCAGGCCTTCCAGGGAGGCTGTAGCTGTCCACTTGTTTTAGAGAGACCACACCCTCTTTCTTAGCCCCTCCCACTTCCTTTGGAGGTCCGGCGACCAGCTCCCACAGATGAATCGTGTTGTCATCCAGCAGAGACAGAAGACGACCCTAGGGGGAAGGCAGAATCACGTCTCAGGTGTTCGATGAACTCGAGTTTCTGTTTTTCAAAGACTCTTTGAGTCGACTCACCTGACCAGGCAGGAAGTGAATCTGCGTGACAGCAGAGGTCTCTTTGTGGAGTCCTGTGAACTCCACACCAGGTGCTCCATAACTGAAAGGATCCCGTCAAGGAAATCTACAAACCGAGCTGCGCGATATCGGAAACACTTACAGCTTTTTTCATAACCCTGCAACGTTAAAAAACACAGGAAAGTCCACCGGATGAGTTAAAGCACACTCCTGCCATCCTGCTGGTGATGAACCTGCTGAACACGTAACACGCGTGGTAAACCGCGTTCTTCTGGGTTCATCAGCAGTTTTCCCACATGAAAAACAATTATAAATGTAGATACAGTAAATTTTTCTCGAACTAATCGGAAATATAAAATAGCTCACTGAAGCCGAACAGAGACGTCGTCTTTTTTTATGTCCACAAGAGTCCTATTAATGTCCTCCAATAAAATAGCTGTAATAAACCACTGAAAACCTTTTAATTTTCCTTCAGATGAGTCTCTTTCATACAAAGTTTTCCTCACGGCCTCCGTTAGCATCCTCATATTAGCTTCTGAATCTTGCAGCGCCCCCTGTGAGGTGTAGCTTCTGATCCACATCTTACCTGATCCAACAGGTTTTGGAACCTTTAACATTAGATGAGCACACGATGAGTTAGGGCTGGGCGATGTGGCCTAAAATCAATATCACCATACATTGAGGATTCACCTCTATAACCAGGTGTGCACAGAAGTGGTCCGCAGGTGCGCATGCGCTGTCAAAATAAACAACGCGCACCTGGAAAAAAGCTGCAGCACGCATTCGCGCACCTAAGACTTTGTGGAGGAAGGAAGACATTTCTGAAGCATTTTAAAGATGTCCAAGAAGCAAGCTCCATTAAGTAATTATTTTGGTGTTCCTCCGCCTCCAAAAAAATGTCAGACTGAGTCGGAACCGCAAAAGAAAAGAGTATTCGCGGAGAAGTGGCTGCAGGAGGTCAGCTGGCTTCAAACAAACGATGAACGCACAGAGATTTGGTGCAGATCATGCCGTGAAAATCCCACCCTCGCAGACAAAAACAGCGCCTTTTACATAGGCACTAGAAACTTCAATCACCCAGCGTTTGATAAACATACCAACAGCAGAGAACGCAGTCAGGACCGTGATGAGGATGATGAGAGTCTGTAGAAATAAAAACGGCATTTATGCCATTTAAAAAACAAAATTACTATTTCAGAGCACTGAAGTTAAGCGATTTAAAATTTATATTATTTGATTTTTGTTTTCACAAAAGCAGCACATTGTGTTTTACATTCAGACAATTCAGTCATGTTAGTTGAAAACTAGAAGGTTTAAGTTAAGCGGGCAATATATACCTGTTGTACTTATTGTTTTCCAGACAAAATCTAAATATGTTGCATCGTCTACGCGTTACTCTGTTTTGTTCCTATTGTGAGTTAAGAATTAAGTGCATTAAAAATGTGAGGACCAAGCAGCAACCATAGGTTCTCCCCTGAGTACCAACCCAAAAATATTATGTGCACCCCTGTCTATAACGATAAATGGACGACAACTACAGGTATGCGAGGAAACAAAAGTTGTCCACTAGATGGGGCTGTCACGTGTATTACACATTTTTACGTTACTCAAGGTGGCACAGCTTCTTAAAGGGACATGAACGCTGCCAACATACCAGGGATGGACAGTATATCGGCATCAATATCGGTATCGGCCGATGTTCGTCATTTTTTAACATATCGGTATCGGTTCGATAAATAAAACCGGGACGATATTAACAACCGATCATTTTTTCCATCTCGTCTCCATTTCTTTATCTGTTTCAGTGGGTGGGGGGGTGGGGGGTACGGTTTGGTCATGTGAACAGTGATTGTAATCATCTCAGAACCGTAAATGGGTGTTTGTGTGCATGTGTGTGTGTGTGTGTGTGTGTGTGTGTGTGTACATAATAACGTCAATTCAGCTTTAATAATTTTCACTCTATACAAAATCTGCTGATTTCAGAAGCATTAATGTCAGTATGTCGGTTATCGGCCATAACAGCGGGTTATCTTAATATCGGATATCGGTATCGGCCCAAAATTTTCATATCGGTGCATCACTACAACATAAACATTTCTTTTTTTTTAATCTAATTTGTTGACATGGGAAAAAATCTCTATACGAGTCAGAAACTTCGGTAAGGATCACTTTTCGATTTATTGCCTGGCCGTACGTTGAGTTCACGTTTCCTCCGACATCGCAGCAGGAACTGAGATGCGTCGATGATGCACTCAGGTCATGTTGATGCTCAAACGTAAACACATGCTGCTCTACACACAAGACAGTTTCTCCAAACCAAGCACGGTTCTGGTTCGTGTCTACTATGATGAAGACACAAACAGCCTCACACCAGAGTATCTGATCATCACATGGGAATTCAGTCACTAACTTATAAACACACACGCACACACACACACACACACACACCTAAAATGGATGAATTATCCATCTGATTGGATCAGATTAAATCAGAGATTAAATTCAGGTTGATGATTGAACAGTTTTCTCAAAGAGGAGCTGAAAATCATCATTTTCATGTGAGCAGAAAGCGAGTCACCGACTGAAATAGAAACAGCTGTAGGAGATGAGTGAGATAAACTCTAAACCAAAGTTGGATTACAGATTATAGATTACAGAAGACACTTTCCTGTCACGTGTTACCCTCAGACACAAGACTGAGCTCAGCAGAGACATGAGCTAAACCCAAGGAGGTCATTTTGATATCAAAAGTGTGTGTGTCTGTGTGTGTGTGTGTGTGTGTGTGTGTGTGTGTGTGTGTGTGTGTGTGTAGTTGTTTTGCTGGTTATAAGTTTAGGATTTCCTTTCAAGATGCTTTAGAGTAAAAACTGGCAAAGTTGAGGACTGTAAACACAGGAAATGGGCATCATGCTGTGTCCACCACAGCTGAAAGGAACCTGTGGGACTCTGGGACGTCCATCCAAAAGAAGCCCAGTGAAAGACTTTCAACATGAATACAAAGCCAAGTGACTCAACTACAAACAAGAGCAAAAGAACGGCAGAAAGAACTAAGTCAGCTGGTTTGTCTGCATCAGAAGGCGGCTTAATCACCGGATGGATGAAGAGAAGAACGATGATGATGAGTGTCTGCAGGAAACAGTGAAGCATGGTGGAGGTTTCCTTCAGGTTTAGGAGATCAGACCAAGATAAACGGTGTCCTCAATGCTAAGAAACACAAGCTTGATCAGCTTCTCCACTAGAGTGACTTTAAATTTACTCTGCAGAAGAACAATAACCCCAAAAATTCAGCTGGTGTCACTGAGTCAAGAGCAGCTCACACAAACAGCTTGTCTGTAACAAAAAGACGCCTCTAGAAACAGAAAGTTTCCTTCTTTCTCAAAAAAAGAAACTAATTACAACCAAACACCACAGACTGAGTGTTTTAACTCTGAGCTGTAAACTAGAAAACATGCTGTTCAGGTTTAAAACCAGGAGAGAAATTAGAGCCCGATAAGAAAGCTCACAGCAATTATCAACACCAGATGATGCAGATGCTTCAACCCACCAGTCAGTGTGTGTGCGTGCGTGTGTGTGTGTGTGTGTGTGTGTGTGTGTGTGTGTGTGTGTGTGTGTGTGTGTGTGTGTGTGTGTGTGTGTGTGTGTGTGTGTGTGTGTGTGTGTGTGTGTGTGTGTGTGTGTGTGTGTGTGTGTGTGTGTGCGCGTGTGTGTGTGTGTGTGTGTGTGTGTGTGTGTGCGTGTGAGTGTGTGTGTGCGTGTGTGTGTGTGTGTGTGTAATTAACCACAATCCTCCCTTTGTTAGACCAGTAAATGAGAACGAGTTGATGAAGTAAAAAGCTGTGACGGCATGAACAAATCAGGCAGCCTTGTGAACCAACACACACCCTTTGTGCGTGTAAAGATGTGTGTGTGTGAGTGTGTGTGTGTGTGAGCTGCTGCAGCACACTTAAACACACACAGCTTACATAAGGCTGCGGGAATGTGGATGGCAATTTGGAAAAATGAAATAAAAACCCCGGATTTGTTGTGTTTGTATTGTTAAAAAAGCAAATTTTAGCTCAGATGTTTATGTTTTTATTCAGAATAACGACGAACAGAGTAAAACTTTTTATAACTGCTTTTGTTGCTGTCCCGATGACGTTCATGCGTTCTAAAGCAGATCCTAATTTCACCTCCATTTTCCACCTCTTCCCTCCATCATATGCGATACTCAAACTAACGGGCTTCATTCCTGAGTGTTTTAACCCTTTCCTTCATCAGCCAGCAGCTCCAAGCCAACTTTTATGGCTTCCTTAGGTCTGAACCTCATCTTTATTGTGATGAGGTGGAAAGGTTTGCTCCTCTTCTCTTCTCACAGTGTAAATCCTTTTGATGTTCATTCCAACCTGGCACCGATCCCCTGGAGACCGAGCTGTGTGTTATACCAGCATTCCTGAGTGTCGTCACTTCCTGGCCCTGTGCTGTACTCACTACAACAACACATGCATCAGACAGCTGGAAGTGGAGGTGTGAGCGGGGCGTTTGTTGACGGGTCATGAACCTACACTCCAGACAGACGGGCCAAACACTGGAGATGGTTTCAATTAGCTATGAGGAAACAAACAGCATGGTATGAAGAATTAGGTCCTCACGATGGAGGGGTAAAGGCGTATTGAAGGGAGTAAAATAACTATAGCTTCCAGATTTATAAAATAACTCATACTGATATTGCAGTATTTTTACCCTTCCAACACCCTAGGTGTGCCATGAAAACACTGAGCTGGTCTGAACCAAATAGAGCCAACTACGAAGGTGTTGTTTGCTAGGCTACACCTGTTAGCAAGATAAACATCTGAGTAATTTAAAATACATTTAGCATAATAGCTATTTGTTACAGGGACTGTAAGGAAGTTTGAAGTTTTTATGCTCGCGATCGCCACTCAGGCCTAACGCGTAACTGCAGCTTCAAAAGTAAGCTCGTGCATGAGGCGTGCATGCTGTACGTGCACACTCCTTAATGAAAATAACAGCTGAGACAGTCCTGTGTGTGTGTGTGTGTGTGTGTGTGTGTGTGTGTGTGTGTGTGTGTGTGTGTGTGTGTGTGTG